CCAGTGGTGTAAGTGTATTGGCTAGTAAAGCTTTCTCTAATTGACCTGGTTACAGTAGAAATGATCCAGTTCCCCTTCTCCTAAGTTTTCTCCTTTTTAAAACTAGAGATTAATAACCTGCTGTTATCTCCATCACCCTAGTGAGAGATTCTGTCAACAGTGATTTTAAAAGGCAGCTTTGGGATTAGATCTCAGGAGTGGCTAGGACTGTAACAACATCAAATCCGTGGTTTTTCCTGTCAATTATACACATGGACAATTTAATAAATTGTTACCAAATTCATATTCTGTGTTTCCTACATAAGAGGGAACATTTAGCCCCTCCCCCCCAAAAATAGTCTTTTCAACTAAAATTCCCTTTGGACTATTTTCTCCTACTCTGAGGACAATACCTTTCCCCAGTCCATTTTCTCTGCTCCCAGTACCTTATGTATGGCGAGCATTCAATAGTCAGTGAATGAATTCCTTTGTCATTGTGTCTCTATTGTGTCAAGTGGAAGTCTGCACCGGAACAATAGCTGGTGGATGGTCTGCACTGGGGAGGCCTGGGCTCAGCTTCAAAAGTGATTTCCCCATCCTGACAGGGCAGGGCATGTTCTCCTTGGGCTGGGAAGGCACAGCTCTATCCTTGTTAAGGACTGCACCTCCCTGTTGCTTTTTTCTTCCTGGGAGCTGTTGAGTCCAAGTGTGACTGCCAAGAAGAATCCAGGAAAGCCAAAGAGCCCGAGCACGTCAGGCCTTCCTGTACCTGCCACACACACTTAAAACCCCAAGGAAATGAGTGAGGATCAATGGGAAGGAGAGAGCCAGCCAGGTGAGCAACCACATCAGTCTGAAGGCTGAAGCAACAGGAAGGGATCCTTGGCAGTTCTGTTTATTTGGCAAGATGGGGAGGTGACCTGATCTCACACTAAATTACCTCACGGCAAATCATTTTTTTACCAAGCTCTATAAATGTTAGGATGACTCCACTGAGCCCTTGGGCTGAGGACAGATGAATACATCAAAGAATGTTAATTAGTCTCCAGGTGTGATTGTGGGGATTGTCTCTCTTCTTTCAGGAAAGGGTTAAGTCCCAAATCTCTCTCTTCCTCCCTGTCCCCCCTAAATCAGGTGAGGAGGTTATTTTGTTCAAAGCCAACATAACAGCTTTAACGTAGTCTTCTGGTTGGGGTATGGACGGGTGTACGTGTGTCCCCAAGGGGTGGCAAAGGCTGTTTTTCCTTTTTATACATATGAATCCTTTTTTTTTCTGCCTTTGGGTTCATATGCTTTAAAGCTACATTCTAGGTGAATTTAATTAGACGATTGCAGTCATTTTTGACATTTTAGTAATGGAATCACTGGTTGGAGCCTTATGCAAAGTTTGGTGCTATAATAGGATTTACCAGGGTTCCAATGTAATTCTAAATTAGTTTTAAATGTCTGCCCCTTGCCTTTCTTTTCATTTATGTCAAATGTTACTACGTGGAGAGAGGTATTTTAATGATAGCAAGATGTCATTTAGAAACTCCTTCTGCTCTACTACGTCTGAAAACCATAGAGAATATCAACAGAGGTGGTTCAATCCCTGAAAGAACTCTCTGGCAGGTTTCTCAGCCTCTGCACTATTGACATTCTGAGCTGTTAATTCTGTATTGTAGGGGCTACCTGTGTATTGTGGGATGTAGTAGCACTCTGACTTCTCCCCACTAATTGCCAGTAGCACCCATATCCTCCTCAGTACAATCAAAAAAGTGCCATGGAAGACAGAATTGCCCCCAGCTGGGAACCACTGTTCTACCGATAGATAAGTTTAAGGAAAAGAAGTTTAAAACAATAAAGAAGATGTAGATTATGGACCTATTGGTTTTGTTTTTTAAAAATTTGTGTAGTCATATGTGGAAGCTAATGAACAAACCGAACTAATAAACAAAATAGAGATAGACTCATAGATAGAGAGCAGGCTGACAGCTGGGAGCGGATGAGGGGGTGGATGAGGGAGGTGGAAGGATTGAGGAAAAAAGAAAACTCATTAGCACTGACAACAGGGTAGTGATTAGAGGGGAGGGCAAGGTGGTAGGTGGGGGTGGAAGAGGGTATAGGGTTAAGTGGTGATGGAAAAAGAAAGTAAATTTTTAGGAGATCAGGTGTGCCCATACAATTCCCACTTAGCCACCAATTATCTATCCATTATTGACTGGGATCTGGTTTAGATTAGTACAAACCATTGTAACTCAGAGCAAGTATTGATTTCAATGCTCTCATTATCACTGAAGAACTTCCAGGTATTTATGTAACATGCAGAACTTTTATGAAGGAACATTTTCCCTGATCCCTGGGTGCTTTCATGGTGCTGGTTTATTGGGCGGAAAGATAGAGTGAGTGGTTGGAGAACAGATTCAAATGAGACTCACGTAAGACTTTAATAACTGAATTTATGAATTGAATGAAGAAACACACCTACTCTACACTGTAATTGAGCAGTTTGTGAATGGGATGCCAGATACATGATCTGGTTTCAGATACATGACAGGTTTCACTGAATTTGCCGTATGTGACATTACTAAGAATTGTCTAGAATATTGCATTTTTCCTCTGTAAGGAAATGAATTGTAATTCATTTTCTCTGTTCTCACTCTCAGCCCAAATTTATTTCCAGTTCTATAGTAGAATGTTTGAGCTACCAGGCAAGTAGAATCATGTCTCCACTGTGATTTAACACTAAATGTCCTGTTGTCCTTATTTTAATTTTTTCTCTTTGTCCTCTCTATTCTCTCTTCGCCTGAACATACATGTTTGCCAGGCACATTTGCTTTGCTTTTCTCTTTCTGATGTCCCATCCCTCCTGCCCTTGTTTTCTTCCCTTTTCTCTACTATAGAAACTGTCAGGTGGCCTCACTGGCATCATCTTACCTTTTTGAACTATGTTACCCAGAGACTCCCATTTATTATGCCTCAGGCACTCTCTTCCTTCAATGCCGTATCTCTCCGAGGGATAGTTAATGATCTTTGCAGCAAATGAAGGTGAATTGCAGTCGCATTACTGTTATAATACAGCCAACTGTATGGAACAGATTGGGCTGCGCTCTGAACAGCTGGGGCTGGCAGAGTGAGTCTTACCTCTTCTCGGAAGAGTTCCAGAACCGCCAGATCATCAGACTTGAAGGGCAAAGTGGGACAGGAAAGGTTATGGGGAAAGCCGTTCCTGCAGGTTCTTCTGGCCTTAGTGATCTACCTTTTGGAAATGTTTCCTGGTTTGTAGAGCTGGGAAAGCATGGACTAATGGCACCCAGGGGCTCCTGGCACTGCTATTGGACTTGCCTGTTTATTGGCTGTGAGGGTATTTTATTGTTCATTTGCAGGCACTGAACATGTGATAAGATAGATGCTTCTGTTGTTAAAACATATGCCTCTCTTCAGTCCATTGAGACTATTCCTAGTGTTAAGGAGAGTTTTGAAATTTTGACTTGCCAAGTGTATGGAACCCTAATATAAATTAATAAAGACTCTGTTGGAACTTTTGGACTTGATTGATAGCGTGGCATTCTGGTGGCTGTAATAAATGGGAACTGATGTGGGGTAGGGCAGATATCATAAACTGATGGCTCACAGAGCCTGATCTAGCTGTTACACATATTGTGTTTGCCCATACAAGGCAGTCTGTGTGTATGTGTGTGTTTGTATGTTTAAAGAACCAACTACCAATATTTTTTTAAAGTTATATAAAAATCTGATTAGTTTTTTCATATAAGCCAGAGTGCTGGCTTCCCTGGAACTGCATGTTCCCATGGGTAGATACCAGCTAAGGCTGAGTAACAGCTCTCCCATATCTGTCATGAGTGGGCCAAGGCAGGGGGTGTACCTCTTACTAGAGTCCATACCTCCCATCCTTACAGTTAGTTCTTGATTGGCCTCTACAGGAGGAGTTCAGGAGAGAACAGGTAGATGAGGAAGATGGGATGAGGAAGAACTGGGTTTGACTCGTAGCTTTACCACCAGCATTGTCAATTTGGGCAAGTTACTTTTCTGAGTCTTAGTTCCCTCATGTGTAAAATGGGAATGTGGTTCTTCACCTCATGTGGTTGCTGGAAAGAGCATTAAGTGACATAGCATATCCGACATTCTTAAAAGAGAGCTACGTACTTACCCAGTAGAATTGCTACACACATTAGCCATTATTGTAATTTTCAGTTGCCATGTATCATAGGTGAATTGATACCCATTATTTAAAGGCTCATTGACCATGTTATAAAGTTAGATAGACACTTGTGTGACTAAGGACAATGAGGGCACTTGTGTCTGGGGTTCCCATATTCCTGTTTCTGTCTTGCAGTATACAATTTACAGTGTCTGTAAGGGAATAATGCAATAGAAACTGAGCTGTTAAGGGAGGCATTACTAAAGAGAGAAAAATCTTGTAATTTAGTTCATATTAGGTAAACCCTTGCTTTTCTTTTGGCTGGGTCATGATTTTGTAATTTTGAATCTAAGCTCCTAAAGTTTCTGTCGCCCCATTCCCATCCCAAGTACATTCAAAATCAGACTGATGATAACCCTGTGGACTGAAGATACTCAGAATCTACATGGAAGGGAAGGTACAGGAATGAGAGCACTACATCAGTTAATACATTTTCTTGAAAGTAGGTTTAAATTTCGTTTGTGTTAGGCCTTCATTGTCATTGAAGGCAGCAGTTAATAAGCACTCTTATGCTCACAGACTCTTTAACATTTCAAAGGGTTTTTTTTCTACATTTTTACATTCAGTTGGCATCTATTCTCTCTGATGTTTGACCTTTGACATCAATCAGAAGGTTCCAGCACACATTTGGCTGCCACACCATGTGGGGGGCAGGGGCTTCCTGGTTATTATATATATATATGTAGTTGAGAAATGCAAGTTTTTCCGCCTATTTTTCTACTTCCTGCTAAGATGGGTGGATATTGCACTTAAATGCACACTCTTGTCTCAAAATAGTAAAGGGTAGCAATTCAGTAATTTCTTCTCATACTTCATGCAGGTGTCTGGAAAACTCCTGAGTTCCAGTGAAAAGCTTATTACGAAGAAGAAGGAAAGGTGGCTAGAAAATGGGAAGGCAGTTCTGGGACCAGTGGGAGAAAATTAAGGTAAAATGTAATAAATGAGTTGTGATCAGCTCGGTTATAGTGTTTAAAAATTACGTTTTCAAGTGCTGTCTTAAACCCCCCTTGGATGAGTGAATGTCACTATTAGGATAAACGGTCCCTGAACAGGAGCCATGCGAGAAGAAAACATTATTTTTAGAGTCCTACTTTTGAAACAATTTATAACTAGAAGTATAGGTCTACCTCTGGATCTTGAAATTGGGCCCAAACCCAGATTCTGGTTCCAGGTGATTACTCAGGATCCCTTCTCATTCCTGCTTTCATCTGATACCATTGGAAAGTGGGGTGAAGTGAAAGAGGGAAGAAGGTGAAGAGGGGAAGTGAAAATGAAGGATGAAGAATATGAAGATTCTCTGTATTTTATCAACATTTTTGTCCAAATCACCAAAAGAATTGTGGCGTGTTTAAAGCTAAGGATCCATGTGAAGTTGGCAGTATTTCAGTTGTACAAAAATGGCAAGTTTTCATAGTTCAACTGAATACAATGATTCCATTTTTTTCCTAGTATTTCTACAGCTCCCTTGCCTGGGTAGTATGGGGTAATTTTAAGAGACAGAAATGTTTTAGAATCCAATTGGTGAATTTTTTTGCATATACTTTGTTAAATAAGATATACAGGTATTTTTCATTTTTGCTTGAATTTTATCGCTATCAGTTTTTTCTAAAATTATGGTTTCTGCATCAAATTTCATAGTAAAGGAGAATGAAAGGCAAGGTCAGTATGAGGATGATTGAAGCCAGGAGTCTTGCCAGATCATTCATCTGGGGACATGCATGGCCGACTGGGTTTGACTGTGGGGTAGCAAAGATCCAAAATTGGGTTTTTACCTTAGCAGACTTAATGTTTGTTTTGAAAATAAGAAATTGATGTGGAAAGATGAAAAGCTATCCACGTGGACATGATTTATTACAACATTTTTTATGGTAGGTTGAACCTTGTTGAAAGTTGTGAAGCTTGCTCAAGTAGGCATTTCCTCTCCTCCTCCCCCCATTTTTTGTGGGACAGAATGACTTTATGAATTCTGTGATAGTTTGGGCAAGAAACAAATTCACTTAGTTAATAAAAATTAAAAATCTCTGAAAAGGCCTGGAAGTAGCACCATCAGCAGTCCTCCAGTGGTGGTGGTGGTGGTGGTGATGTGTGTGTGTGCCTTTGTGTGTGCTTCATGGGAGAGATTTTTTCAGAATGAATGAGACAGATGCTTCCTTCACTTGCTAGCTTCCTGGTTTTCAAAGCCTTTTTGTTGTTTTATTTTAAGATTGGGTGCCTCTTTGTTGGGTCAGTGAGGGCGTGGAGAGCCTGCAGGCGCATGCGCCTGCCTCTGTAATTTGCTCTTCCTGGTGTGATATCAAGTGGAAGTGCAAGGGACCACAACTGTAGTGAGCCGAGCCCACTTCCCTTCACCCACAGAGAATGTGGAGCAGTTATACCAACATCAATCAAGGCAAACCCACAGGCTGAACTCACACCGTTGAAGCAGGTGCCTGAGAGCATCCTCCAGCAGGCCCACGTGACTGAGGTGTACCTTGGCGCCTTGCCCACAGATGTCAGTTATGATGGCTGTGTGGGCTGTGCCCGCCTCACACAGCCAGAACAAGCCTGTCGTACTTATGGGACAGAGCAAGTGTAACTCATGGCATCTCAGCGGATTTACTGAGACTAGAGAAAAATGCAAGGTCTACTATCTGCCTGTGTGTGTCCATATACATTGATATGTGTATATGGATGGATGTATATGCATATGTATACACACATACATCTGTACACATGTGCACACACATTTAAAGCAAAGCTCAAGTGGGCCATGAGATAAAGAGAGAATATGAACATTTAAGACATTCTTAAGTGTCTGACAATAAGGTGAATTTGCTTATTAAAAAAAGAAAGCACAAATTTCATCCTAAGTTGAACCATCCTGATATATTTTAAACAGTTATTAGTTCCCCAAAGATGGTTATATGTGTTATTGGTTATGAGTATCCACTTTGAGCTGATGCTTAAAAATGTTATGCATATTATTTATATCCTAGTATGTGGACCATCACCCTTTAAGCAATGCAAAGTAAAACAAGACACACTTTTTAACCATCAAAATTGGCTAAATTTGAGAATAAATATAATACCTAGTGTTATTATAGGTATAGGGAAAAACATACTACTTGGATGAGGTGAGCTTTTATATACTATCTGGAGATTATTTTGCAATACAGTTGGCCCTTGAACAATATGAAGGTTAGGAATGCTGACCCCCTCAACCCCTACACAGACAAAAATCCACATATAGCTTTTTGACTTCCCCAAAATTAATTGCTAATAGTTTACTGTTGATTAGAAGTTTTACTGATAATATAAACAGTCAATGAACACATATTTTGTATGATATATGTATGTATCATATACTGTATTTTTACAATAATTTAAGCCAGTGTAAAGAAAATGCTATTAAGGAAATCATAGGGAAGAGAAAATACACTTACAGTATTTATTGCAAAAAATCTGCATATAAGTTGAACCATGCAGTTCAAACCCATGTTGTTTCAGGGTAAAGATCCAAAGCCACAAAATGTGCATATTCATAGTTCTGGCAATGCAGCTCCTAGGAATATTTATCCTGACTATGTCTGAACATGTGTAAGAAGATTTTACTACAAGGATGCTTTATCACAAACTTATTTTAATGTGTGTATATATATATATATATATATATAT